AGCCACTCGGGAGGTTGAGGCAGGAGAATGGCGTGAACCCGGGAGGCGGAGCTTGCAGTGAGCTGAGATCCGGCCACTGCACTCCAGCCCGGGCGACAGAGCGAGACTCTGTCTCAAAATAAATAAATAAATAAATAAATAAATAAAATATTGTAGAGACCAGGTCTTCCCTATGTTGCCCAGGCTGGTCTCAAACTCCTGGGCTCAAGTCATCCTCCTGCCTCAGCCTCCCAAAGTACTGGGATTATAGGCATGAACCACGGCACCCAGTCTGAAGGGGTTTTAAGAAGAGAGCCACATGATCCGGTTTAGCATTAGAAAAAGTCACTCTGCTAGGAGAGCAGACGATGACAGGGTGGGGGAAAGAAGGATGAGACTAGGGCTAGGCCAGGGAAGATGCCAGTCTGTGCTGGTGCCGTACGAAAGGTGGACTTGCGGGAGAGGTACTCCGACCCAGAATCAGTGGAGCCATTTGCTAGATAGGTTCTAGTTTAAAAGCCTGGGAGAATAGACACAATATCTGTCTCTGGGTCCTGGTAATGCAAGTATTTTTTATTTTCTTCCTAATCCTGTGCAGGCGGGTTTCTGGCTGGGGCGATGGAGTGGACAGATGGTGGAGTCAGTGGGATTTCTCCAGGGCTGGACTTTCTCCATGATCCCACAGATCTTAGCCAGGACAGGGGCCAGGTGATGGGGAAGGGGTCAGAACAGTGGGGAGGGCAGCTTGTTCCTGAGCAACAGTCATGAGTGAGGTTCTGTGCCAGGCACTGTGAAGGTCCCTGAGGTTGGACAGAGAGGTCCCAGATAACAGAGACACCCGGCTACAGCACCTGGACACTCCCAAGCTTTAACTCACAGTAACCCAAGCTTTTTACCTGGTCTCTGAGACAGCACCTTGAGCGGGCAGCATCCACTTTTCTGGCTCACTCTGGCCCAGCAGGGGCAGAGGACCAGTGTTGGCCTGGCAGAATCTTTCAAACGCTGGAGCAAGGGACCTGGGCAGGACCACCAGGCTGGCTGGTCGGAGCTCTGGGTATGGCGGGAGAAGGGGAAAATGTATAGTCAGCTGTTTATTGGCAGACACTTTCTGATTTTTTTTTTTTTTTTTTGAGGCGGAGTTTCACGCTTGTTGCCCAGGCTGGAGTGCAATGGTACAATCTTGGCTCACTGCAACCTCCACCTCCTGGGTTCAAGCAATTCTCCTGCCTCAGCCCCCTGAGTAGCTGGGAACACAGGCATCTGCCACCACGCCTAGCTCATTGTTTGTATTTTTAGTACAGACTAAAAATACACATGGGATATTTGCTGGCCCATGTTGGGCTAACTGGTCCATGTTGGCCAGGCTGGTCTTGAACCCCTGACCTCAGGTGATCCACCCGCCTTGGCCTCCCAAAGTGCTGGGATTACAGGCATGAGCCATTGCGCCTGGCCCCTTTCTGATTTTTTTAAAGTGACAAGGTCTTGCTATGTTGCTCAGGCTGGCCTTGAATTCCTGGGCTCAAGTGACCCTCCCGCTTCAGCCTGCCAAGTAGCTGGAAATACAGGTACACATCACCATACCCAACTTCCAATGGAATTCTTTTTTTTCTTTCTTTTTTTTTTTTTTTAGAGACAGAGTCTGGCTTTGTCACCCATGCTGGAGTGCAGTGGCTTGATCTTGGCTCATTGCAAACTCTGCCTCCCAGGTTCAAGTGATTCTCATGCCTCAGCCTCCCAAGTAGCTGGGACCATAGGCATGCACCACTGTGCCCAGCTAATTTTTGTATTTTTAGTAGAGATGGGGTTTCACTACGGTGGCCAGGCTGATCTCAAATGCCTGGGCTCAAGTGATCTGCCTGTCTTGGACTCCCAGAGTGCTGGGCTTACAGGTGTGAGCCACTGCAACAGGCCTAATGTAAATTTTGATTGAAGCATTACCTACACTCAAAAAAGTGTACACCGCCCTGCAGGGAAGGACACAGGCCTGGCTGGTTTTGCTACCTGCTAATTGCAGAGCCCCACTCAAAAAAGTGTAGGTAACGCTTCAATCAAACACACACAAACCTACAGCTTGATGAATTGCCATGAAATGAATCCTACTACATGCTGTAGCCTCCTCTGGGGGCAGCCAGCCTTCCTCCTCAATGGAAGTCCTTTGGCTTTGGAGATAAACACACCTGCACTCGAATACTGATCCTGTCTCTGACCAGTTGTGTGACCCTGGGCTGTGGCTTTGCATGTCCTAGCCTCGGCCTCCCCATCTATAAGATGGCAGCAACCATGCCTACCTCCAAGAGACCTCAGGGAGGTAATGTATGTAAGTTATTGAGCACCTCGGTGTTCAGGAAGCAGGGACTAAAGTTACTGTTCAATGAAATCCTGCGTAGATGTTTAAAATTATGGTTACAGAAGAAATATGTAATGATTATGTTAAAAGATGTCTGTGATGTGTCATTAAAGGAACTGTACTAGGTAATGAAACAATGTATTGGACAAATTCTCCTTTTTATAAAATCAGTGAGTGAAAGAACTAGAAGGAAAGGGGAGGGAAGAGTGGAAAGGACTGTGTCCTGTAATTTGAGTGCCAGCTCAGCCGCAATACAATAGAACACTGGGTAGAACACTGGGTAGACATCTAAGGTTTTTGGCTGTAGTCCCTGATGCCCAGACGGCTCTTCTGGACTCACCCAGGGCCTGGGGGGACTCAACGCCCTGCAGGGAGGGACACAGGCCTGGCTGGTTTTGCTACCTGCTAATTGCAGAGCCCTACGGCCTTGAGCGAACACAGGCAGTTGCCAGGGAGTGGTTACAGCAGGGCTTGGGTAAGACCCAGTGCTGTGCTGGCTTCAGGTCTGGCCCAGCACACTCACAGTGGTGGTGGCTACAGGGGTGCTTGTGTCACTCCACCCCCAGCTTTAGGTGGCTCAAAATAGAGAGAGAGAGACTCTGGGAGAAAGTAAGGGAAGAGAACAAGAGTCTCTGCCTGGTAAACCAGAGAATCCTCCTAGATCTTGTCCAAGACCATCAAAGCCATACCTGTACTGAGGCTGCAAGAATGACAGCGTTACTGGGCTTCAGGTGCCCCCTAAAGCAGAAACAGCTTAGATCACAACACCCAAATCCTTTCAAATAACTGGAAAGCCTTCCCAAAACAGAGGGCTATAAATAAGCCCAGATAGCGAAGACTACAATAAATACCTAACCCTTGAATGCGCAGACACCAAAGAACATCTACTAGAACTAGAAGGAAGGACATTACAAGTTAATGCCTCAGGTGACAGAGCTGTGCATGCTGGTCATTTGCTTCTCTGTGCTTTTCACAATATTCTAAAATTAAGACCATCCTGAAGAAAAACATAATTATGTTCTATCGGGCTGGGTGTGGTGGTTCACACCTGTAATCCCAGCACTTTGGGAGGCCGAGGTTGGCGGATCACCTGAGGTCAGAAGTTCGAGACCAGCCTGGCCAACATGGTGAAACCCCATCTCTACTAAAAATACAAAAATTAGCCAGGTATGGTGGTGCGTGCCTGTAATCCCAACTACTTGGGAGGCTGAGATAGGAGAATTGCTTGCACCTGGGAGATGGAGGCTGCAGTGAGCTGAGATTACGCCACTGCACTCCAGCCTAGGTGACAGAGTGAGAATCCATCTCCAAAAATAATAATAATAATTATGTTCTACTGGAGAAATATCCTTGAGGACAATTGCCCTGTCAGATTTGCTGTATCAACCCACGTCCCTTTCTCTCCTGCAATAATCTTGTTGGCGAATATTTACTGAGTGCTTTTTATGTGCCGGACTCCCCATGCCAAGTCATCTGCACATGTAATTATATTTTATAGATGAGGGGAACAAGGCTCAGAGAGATGAAGTGACTTTCCCAGGGTCACACAGCTACTGCACGGCACAGCCGGCATTTAAACCTGGGACGGGTGCCCGTGGAGCTCGCCTCACTTCATCACGGAGTGGCCCCTGCTGGGCTTCAGGCACTGGGTTTCCCTAGGAGGACAGCGCTGTCCTCCATGGGGACTGGGGAGTGAAACAGATGCAACCATCTGTTGGGAATGTCCAGGACCGGCTCCTACTCGAATTGCGGTGCCCGGAGCTCATTATCACAGTCGCCACAGGGCCTGCCAATGCTACAAGCAGACTTTCCAAATGAGGACATGTGAGACACCCCCAGCTGCCGAAAGCCCAAGGAACCTGATGCCGGTCTCAAGCGAGCCCAGCAGGGCTCTGAAAATGATCTGGAGCGAGGTGGGAGAGGATTCAGCTGGCTTAGAGGCCTCCCACTCCCTACTCACCCGCTTCTTACCACCAAAGCCCCTTGTGAGAACAAACTGGACTTTTTTTTTTTTTTTTTTTTTTTGAGATGGAGTCTCCCTCTGTTGCCCAGGCTAGAGTACAGTGATGGGATCTGGGCTTACTGCAACCTCTACCTCCAGTTTTCAAGCGATTCCCCTGCCTTAGCTTCCTGAGTAGCTGGGATTACAGGCGCACGCCACCATGCCCGGCTAATGTTTTTGTATTTTTAGTAGAGATGGGGTTTTGCCATGTTGGGCAGACTGATCTTGAACTCCTGACCTTAGGCAGCCCACCTGCTTCAGCCTCCCAAAGTGCTGGGATTACAGGCGTGAGCTACTGCACCCAGCACAAATTGTATTTTTAATACAATAAATCAGGATGGTATGTGCACAAAGCTTCTTTGTTTCCTTTTTTTTTTTCTTGAGACAGAGTTTCGCTCGTTTCCCAGGCTGGAGTGCAATGGTGTGACCTCGGCTCACTGCAACCTCTGCCTCCTGGGTTCAAGTGCTTCTCCTGCCTCAGCTTCCCAAGTAACTGGGACTACAGGCGCATGCCACCATGCTCAGCTAATTTTTGTATTTTTAATAGAGATGGGATTTCTCCACATTGGCCAGGCTGGTCTTGAACTCCTGACCTCAGGTGATCCACCCACTTTGGCGTCCCAAAGTGTGGGATTACAGGCGTGAGCCACCGAGTCTGGCCCTTTGTTTCCTTTTTAATTAAATGAACTTTGCAGGGTACTATGTTTTGGTTTTGTTCATCTCCATGGCTGGAGATGAACAGAAAAGTCCCCAAGTTGTCCCCATTAGTAACAGACACAGAATAGAAGCCTGCATGGTCTCTTTCTGGAGAGGATGGTGGACTCTGGAGGCCTCACCTTTTTGGAGGATACTTTATGGTCTGGTGATTTGTGCATCCCCCAGGTGCCTTGGGCTCCATGGAAGGCAGTGACACTTTTCTTTGTAGATAAACTGAGTAATTTCTCTGAGTCCTTTTACCTCAAAATCATTTTTTTTTAACTTAATGACAAGAGAGAGGAAAAAACACCCTTTAACATGTCTAATCTGAATGAAAGCCCCCAGAAGACAGCTCCAAGCTGGAGTTTTCCAGCTGTTTGGTAAAATGAGCTTCTCTACTTGAGGAGCATTTCACAGCAGCGGGAACAGCTCAGGTGCCCCTCCCGACAGTCCCACTGGGAAGGTTCTGATGCTACTTTCATTGTGTAGGTGAGGCTTAGAAAGGTCGCAGTTTGCTAGTAAGGAGTGAAGCTGGGACTCACACTCAGGCTTTCTCCCTCCAGGCTCCAAGGCCCTGGCTGATCCGCTCTGTTGCCTCCCCAGAGTCTTAGCAAGCAGTTGTCAACCTGGGGTTAAGCTGGTGTTCGCTGCTCATATGTAACGGGTTGTTGTAGACTAATACCTTGGTGGCGCTCTATGTATATATTAGGTAGTGCAAAAGTAATTGCGATTTTTGCCATTTTTTTAAAAATAAAAGTAATGGCAAAAACTGCAATTACTTTTGCACCAATTTATATAAACTCTGCTCCCCAGTATTCACACCCCATTGTAGCCCCTTCCCCATTGACTCTGGCCTTGGCCGTGTGACTTGCTTTGGCCAATGGGACATTAGTAAGTGTGACGCAAGCAGAGGCTTGGTATGAGTTTGGGCATTAGGACTTATTCTCTTGGAATCTGTCTCATGGCGTCCTGAGCTCCCATGTAAAGAAGTTTGGCTATCACTATTGAAGAGGTTTCATGGACAGGAAATGTTCAGCCAGTCTCAGATGTTCCAGCCATCCCACTGGATGCCAGACATGTCAGGAAGAAGCCATCTTGGATGGTCTATCCCCAACAGACACCACAGGGAGCAGAAGAGGCGCCCTGCTAAGACCAGCCTTGATTGCAGCATTGTGAGAACTATGGTTTTAAGCCACTAAGTTTAAGAGTGCTTTGTTATTCAACAGTTAATTCTGTTAGCCCATATATAGCAACAGAGGCCAGGCATGTTAATAAACTAAAGGAAAATGGTCTTGCTCTAGTACTTTAGACAGTGCTGATGGTTTTTCCTTGGGCACTTATACCATAACCAGAAGAGTCTTTTTTAATGTGAAATTTTGCTTGGACTTAGGTCAGTGACAAATTTGGTATCTGTTTTCTCTTGCAGGACTTTTTAGAGCCTTCGGTTTCACTCCCGGAATACAGTAGGGAGATGGGTGCCACCCAGAGAATAAGACCAGTCAAGGGTAGGAAGAATTGGTCTGAATCAAAATCTGATTAAACTACAGTGTAACCTGGGGGCACTTTTCTGGGAAAGGACAACCCTTTTCATCACCTGAGCCCACTGGTGGTTCCCCATATGGGGCTGAGGTGACCAAGCAGAACTGGGTGTCATTAGACCCATCTGATGGGTTTCCACACCTTGAGTCTAATCCAAGGTTCCAGTTTCTTCTGGGAAGTTAAGTAGTGACTGAAGCTAATATCATTCTGCTCTTACTTTCTGTTTCCTATGCAGAATCTAGAAGTCTCAGGAGTGTGTGGGCCCTACACAGCTGGTATTTCCCAGGAACTTTCTTTTTTTTTTTTTTTTTTAACTATCTGGCACCACTTACCCCCAGCCATGCTGGATGTATTTCTGATGTTTGGTTTCTTTTGTAGAATCAAACTCCTTAGGGCAGTAGGAAGGCGGGACTTCAGGTGGAGTGTGAAGGACATTATGTCACCTTGAATAAGCAGCAGAGAATCTGGGTGAGGGGAGAAAAAGGAACAAATTAGAAAGGGTGGCCCCTGAAGGCAGCAGATTCAGCCTCACATAGCATCACATTCCACATCATATCCCACCCTTTCTTGGCTCTGTTCCTGGGCCTGCCTTGCAGTGGGCATTGTTCAGAATCCATTCTCCCCCTTGTCACACCTCAGTTTCTGATGAGAAATTCCTAACGCAAACCTGAATGTCCCCCTTCCTTCCCCTAAGGGCTTTCCATTCCTCCGAAGCTGCAAAGTCTTCTCCAAAATGCTGGTGCCGGGCTCCTTGGCCAGGAGTCACCGTGGCCTATTATTCTACTTGACTCTGAACTCCCTTCTCTCCCTAGGGCCTCGAAGGCAGGGACACATGTGAGACTTCTTCCACAGGCTCCAGAGCACCTATCACAGCCTATGCACATAGCATGTGCCCCAAATACACATGATTGAATGAACAGACGAATGAGTACCACTGCAGTCGCAAGTGAAATAAGAGGCTGAGTTTTGTCGACATGCGACTTCCGTTATTTAGATTTGGGTTTCTAGAAGGTATAGGGACTTTGTGTTTTCTTTTTTTTTTGGAGACGGAGTCTCGCTCTGTCGCCCAGGCTGGAGTGCAGTGGCGCGATCTCGGCTCACTGCAAGTTCCGCCTCCCGGGTTCAGGCCATTCTCCTG